ATAATAATCATATACATTGTATATTGACAAAATAAAAATTTAACAACAACAACAAAAAAAGTCATGATCCCTATCAATGTCCATCCTTTTTGATCCACTAAATCCACTTCTTGAACTCTATCCTGAGGATATAATCAGAGATATGAACAAAGATTTTTGTAGGGGATATTAATTGTAGTATTTTTATATTAACAAAAAATTCAAAGCAATATCCAGGTCCAATATTGGAATAATTACTAAATAAACATAATGGAACATCTGAATCTGTGCAAAAAAAAAAAAAAAAGACTTTTTAAATTAATTCATTTATTTTTTAATTGACATGTATTAATTGTAATATTTATGGGGTACAGAGTTATATTTCTATACATGTATACAATGTATGATTGAATCAAGGTAATTAGCACGTTCATCTTTGCAAAAATTTATTATCTCTTCATGATGAGAGTATTTAAGCTCTTCTTTTCTAGCCATTTGAAAACATACAATAAATTATTAATTATAGATGCCTTTGACTACAGTAGACCACTAGAACTTATTTTTCCCCATATAGATCCAACTGTCTTGATGAAATACTCATTATTTAATGCTAAATGAAATTTTCCAGAGATAGAATCAATGCCCTCTAAAAAAAGTACATGTAGGTATACATACACATAAATATATAAAAGGCTGAATTGGAAAAAAGTAATTGTCATCTCTATGTGATGAGATTATATGCTATTTTTATTTCCTTTATTGTACATTTTTCAAATTTCTCATAATCAATTTCAATGTATATTACTTTTATATTTTAAAAATTATTACGTAATATAAATAATAGTAGAGCTCTGTCAATGAATCGGAGACTTCCTGTTACCCTCCAGCCCCAAGACAGAGGCCTGAATCCCACTCTCCTGGAAACTGTCTCCTCACCAGCAGCCCTGGAGTGAAGTGAAAGGGCAGGTCCAGTGCTATATTCATGTGGTTTAACAGCAGGAGTACACTGAGGTATCTTAATCCACCAGTAGGTTGGAGGAAACATTACTGCCATTGATAAAGCGAGGAGACATTAAGAGGAAGAATTATAATCCACATTGCCTTAAAAAAATAACTACAGAAAATTCCCTTGATGTGGCCTGTTCTATACAATGTTACATCAGTATATCCTAATATATTAAAGAGCACAAATTGGCACAAAACTTAAATACAAATGTAGGCTACATTGGGAAAATTCCAGAATGTATTAATTCATCCGCATATACAACAAATAAATGTTTATTGAGTTCCATGCCAAGAACTAGACTGTTAAGGATTCAAAAGCTACCAAGATGCCACCGTCTTCCTAACACGTGTTCAAATTGTTGAAGGAGTGAAGATGAGGTCTATATGGGGTTTGAAATCTAGGAGACTCGGGCAAATTAACAGGTAATTGCATTACTGTGTAATAAGCATGAGGGTACTTCGAAATGTTTGTGGGAAAATGGAATTAAAAGATAAGACAAATCTTTCCAAAAAACGTTCTGAA